TACAATACAGTGTGTGCTCTTGTGATTTCACAAGACTACATTTGACAGCATTTGAGGACATTGGCTTACATATTTGAGGAAAATTTCCTCTCCAATGTCTTTTAAATTCACAAGTCTCCACAGTAGTGAAAATGCCTTCAGTCAAGAGTAAATAGACAATAGTGGCAGGACAAACCTCGTTACGGTGAAATGACAGTTCTGGTGAGCACAACAGTCCAACAACATTCTTGTAGAAAACATCCACAGATTGTAATAACAATAAAAACAACTGGCTGCCTACAATCTCTTCACCTTTGACCCTCACTTTCCTCCACCACTTACCTGATGATGATTTTCTAACAACGCAATGTTGAGCATACAGGCCTGGCAGATGTCCCACTCACATCAAAATGAAAACTGAGGAGATCCATCAACGCAAGGGCAAGACTTGAGTATTAATTACCAACCTACACTATATTGAAGCAAAATAGGGCACACACTAGTCCTTAGACTACATAATTATAATAGTTACTTAATTGACCTGGCAGAGTTTTTATATGCAGCATCTGTGATGTGTGGATCGGACCACCTCCAAATTTAAACAACAACGAGCAAAACTGGGATGCTTTCTTGCAAGAATTCTCAGAGTCAACACCCATTTGCAACAGCATGACTAAATTTTCCACAATGGTTAAAATTATTGGAGAAAGTTGAGGATGGCTTATTCCACCCTCAATAATAATAATTGTAATGTATGTGAGACGTCTCAAGCATTTTCAAACTCCATTCCGTTCACAACAAATTAATATCAGGTACATAACAAAGTAGCACATGCCTTTCACGTTGATCAAAAGCACTACTTATTGCTACATAATTGTTCAAAATCTACTGGCCTGGAAGGACTACATCTTGTTGAGGTCAAAGTCTATTCTTAAAATGCTATCTGTTCTATGCAGTGTATACCTACCAGTTCTCCGACCTTCAGTCCCTATCCAACCATGAAGTTTTGAGATATTCAATGGGTGTCTACACTATAACATGGTATTTTCCAATAACATATGCACCTCACCAATGGCTACCCAATCCCACAAACTTGGACTGTCAAAAATACAATCTGACTACAAAAATGATACCTTAGCCACTAGTCTGAAATCCAGAAAATCTAATGAGATCAAAACTTGAAATAGAATCAAAATTATTCTTCCATTTTTTTTTTTGGGGGGGGGGGGGGGGGACAAATTATGAAAATACAATCAATTGTGTGCACAAGGTACAAGCTACACTGTAGAAGTATGCTTCAAAATGGTAATACAAAACACAAGTAATTGTGTATACAATGAGCAGCTTCAAACCTATTTTAAGTGTATTGCAGATCTTTGGAAAACTCACCAACACTATTAATATCTTAAAAAAAAAAAATCAACAACACAACAATATATATATGAACATGGCATCTACTTTTGTGTTACAAAAATCTCGTTCCATTGCAAAACCGGTCACTCAAGCACTCTGCTCAACATAAAACGATCTACTTGTACAACAAATACTGGTGCATTTTGGTGATATGTCTATATACATACATTGAATTTAAATAATCCTTCACGTGATCCATGCAGTACAATAATCAGTGCAGTAAGTACAAAGGATGTTTTGACTATGGTGCTGTTCAATACACGAGTTCTGCACAGGACAACAGTTCACAAGGGCACAACAGTAGGCAGAACAAGAACAAGTAGCAAGATCAAGAATACACACAAGACGCTTCTTCTTCTTCCCCCGGTTGACAAAAGGAATCAAAACACGATGGACTTTGTTCAAGATGATGCCAAGAAGACACAGGGAAGACATCCATGCATGAATGCATGACCCAGTGGAATCAGGCACTCGTCAATTTTCGGGCATGTAGAGTCATTGGTGTCATCTTAGAGCTTATTCATTTGGCTTGCTTTCGATTAAAAAATATGCAGCTATCTTGAATGGAAGTTGAAATATTTGAGATTGAAGGAGGTGGAGGACGACCGGTTTCAGGGGGAAAATATACAAGAAAATGGCCACCAAAGTTTGGTGACTTCCAAAGCTTTGAGTCCTTGAAAACGTCAAATTCACGTTTTTTGTGTCTTAACGTTTTTCAGTAAAATCTGCATAGAATTTAAATATATATTTTGAATGGAACTAAAATGTATTACAGCAAAAAACAAAAATTTGATAAAAATTGCCAAACAGGCGGAGAAATGCTGGTTTCTTTGATTTCATTATTTTGATGAGCGCCTGATTTCACCATGATGCCACACAAATCATTTCTTTACAATAGTCTCCGCCCAAACGCACTGCATTCAAAAGCATGCTCCGCTCAAACGCACGCTTTCATTATATGATGGTTTTTTTTTTTACTAGATCTATATAACTAAGATGTACAAATACACGGTGACTCCCCCTAACTCTAAATGCACGCTCCGATCCGCAAAACACGCCAACAGATCAAGCTTGACAAGGGGAAATTTTCGCTGCAGCCTAAACAGCTTGCATAAGACAAGCCTAGATAACCGGACTGTAAAGTTAAAGATTAGTCAAGTAAGCTTAATCCGCTGCCTTTGAAGAACGTATAATGTACTTGTTCAACGAATCACACGACAAAAGTTTCTTTGAATGTAGGGATCTATGATTCTGATGTTCGTGAATTTACGGTAGGGGGTGGTCGCTTGGAAAGCCACGTGGCTGGGCCGTCGTCTTTATGACTATCATCAACAGTTTCCTTTAGGCTATCTGTACCCGACATTTTATGGCGCACATCATTACATTGAGTCTGTCTTTCTTGCCCCCACCCATTTAAAGCCTTTGTATTCTTAACCACAGTCCGGAAATCCTTCAGAAAACAGTCACCTGTCGTCACATCATCAGCCAAAGTGACCCCCACCCCAAAGGGAGGCCATTAGAATATCAAGGAAATGAGATGAGATGACTGCGTCCCTTCCTCCCTTTGCAAAGGTTCATGTAAACGCACACTCCGTATAAACACACGCTAAGGAGCCCTCCCGAGCACCGTGCATTCAGGCAGAGACTACTGTACTTAGCTCCCCACAGCTTTTCCATGTTCTGCCTCTTTTAAATAACTTTACAGCGTTGCAAAGGATGAGAAACCTAGAGAATTTCACATTTTTTTTCCTTTCCAGTCTGGTCAGGAGATACAAAACACACTACTCCTAGCAAATATCACTTTTATCTCAGATCAATCTTTAGTAAAGTATACATACATATATACCTTAGTACTACTCCTTTAAAAAATATAAAAAATACAGAGAAACAACTTCCTTCATCTCCATTGCTAGATGACAGCTGCAAAACAACAAGATCAATAAATTTGTCTCTTTCATTTTCTTCCTTCTCTGAACACTTTAAACAACACACAAAGAGACTCAAAGTATTTACAAGTATGTCAACAATCTGAGGTAGGAACAACTTCTAAATGCTTTATGTCTCTTATCAACTATTTTTCACGGACACTGCACTATAAAAAGACAAAAAAACTCGATTGTGTGTACTCATTTGAGGCATTTAAAAGAAAATTGCATTGTTTAGCTCAGTATAAATTCAAGAGAAAACAGAGACACATATAGACAAAAGAGACAAAATTAAATAGGCGCAAGAACCAGCTGACAAGTCATTCACAGAAAGAGAATACAATTAACAGATTAAAAATTCACACACGTGCCACGTCTACTCTATGCCTAAGAAATATATACATACACACATTTCACAAAACCCTCCTGGTGATAGAGATGCACTTGTTGTATTTCTGAGAAGAAGAGAGAGAGAGAACGTACCACCCACACATGTACACACCAGTTTAGAGGTGAGTAATCCCCTTAATCATTACAGTAAAGAATCTTAAGATAATATCTTTCTTGGAATCAGCTGCTGTGAACAAGTCCTGAAGACTTGATGATGAGAGATCTTCATCCGGACAGACACTCACAGTTAACGAACCCAATCACAACCCTGTCGGTCCTTATTAATGGGATAAAAACTACAAACAACCACACAGACACACACTCTCAGCAGAACATATGACCATAGAAGCCTGAACCTATCATGACCAGCGGTGTTTGCACATAATGTGATTTGATGGAACTCGACTAAAGCTGAAACTGTCAAGTCCTGGGGAATATAAAATTGGAATCTGTATTGGGGGGAAATAAGTCACAACATGACTATGGCTGGTCGAGCCTCTTCATTTCCATAAAACCACATTACATACACACCCAGAACACAGACTGTGTCTGTGAAGATATGGAGTACAAAAGAACGATCAAGTACAGGAGACACACATTTACACAGGAGTCCCCACCCTGATATCCCAACACATACGCATACACATATATAAACATGTGAGTACATGCGAGATGTGTTATTGCACATGTCCAAGATGTACGTCATCAGCAGACTATTGCCACAGCGGGTGAGTCAACAAACACAGCAACGACCACCGCAGGACAGATGGAGGGCAGACCAGACAAAAAACAAATCCATCCTGATCTCTGTGACTTTCATTCCTTCATTCATTCATTCAGACAAATTGGTAGGCAGCGCGGTGGAATCAGGCTCTCGTCATTTTTTGGGCATGCAGAGTTATTGATATCATCTTATAGCTTGTTCACTTATCTTTATTTGGATTTTAAAAATATCCATTTATCTTGAATACAAGTCGAGATATTAGCGATTAAAGGAGGCGGGGCTACCTGTTTTCAGAGGTAAAATTAGTGAGAAAATGGCCGCCAAAGATTAGTTATTTCTTTAGCTTAAGAGTCGGTGGTAACAGAAAATTTACATTTTTTGTGCTTTTAATCAACGTTTTTCAGAAAAATCCACACATAAATTCGTTCTTTAATGGGCATGAAAGGTGTTGAGCCAAAAAGCAAAAATTTGATAAAAATTCACAAGCCTGTGGGAAAATGCAAGTTACTTCACTTTGATAATTTTGATGAGAGCCTGATTCCACCAGGCTGCCTCACAATTCGTTTTAAAATAACAAAAGCAAACTGATTTAATAATAATAATAATAACAAAACAGACCAATTAAAAAAATCTTCCAGGCAACAATTCACATTCCAACAATCTGTATAATTGTAACTGACTCAACTGATGTCTCATCAGGAATAAAAATTATCAAAACATGGAAACAAAAAAATAATACTTGGCCCTGTTGCTTACTGGTGTAAACAAAATCAATTGGCAATTGGACAATCTCTTATAAAAACCAACTCAAGATCAAAGTCTAAAATCTTGCACTCTTTCTGGCAAATACAGGCAATTTCATACACTAATGTTCAGTACCCAAAAGTTCGACACCCCCCCCCCCCCAAAAAAAAAGGAAGATTCAACGCTGGGACAAAGCTTTCACTGAAGTCAGATGTTGATACAAATCAGAAAAAGACCAAGAAAGCATATTGATTAAGCAGTTTAGCACCTTCGAAAAGATCAAATTTCACTCTACAGCAAGGCCGAAGAAGCCCCACAACATAAGCACACACAACCAAGTGCACATGGAGACACAGTTTCAAATATGCACGCAGCCACACGCACACACACACACACATCAACATATATATCTATAGGCACATACCTCAATCAACACATTACAATCAGTCTTACAAAATGATTTGGGAAAAAAAAGTCCATTTACACCACCACCCCCCTCCCCCCCACACACACGCACGCACTCTCAAGGCTAAACTTCACAGGACAAAGAAGGCCTTTCATCCACACCACATGAACTACTCCTCCTCTTCTTCCTCCTCCTCCTCTTCATTACTAGACGACAGCGGGTGCTGAGCCGGCCTTCCAAAGGGAATACTATGGACGGGAGTGACTGTCCCCATGGTAACAGTTGTGTTGGGGGGAGCTGATGGAATTTGGCTGGTGTGTTCACTGGCGAGAACAGATGAGTAATTGAGAGGAGGAGGGGGGTAGTGCAGCCCTGGGTTGTCCCCTCCCGATACTGGTGGTGGTGGTGGTTGCTGTTGCTGTTGTAAGAGATGAGGGTGATGGTTGATGCCGGCCGCCATGAGTGGCGCTCCCACTTGTGGTAGTGGCTGTGCCATGGACATCTGTGTTTGTTGTTGCTGTTGGTGGTGGTACAGATAAGGATGCTGCTGCTGCTGCTGTTGTTGCACCATGATCGAAGGAGAGGCAGAGGGGACCAGCGGGTCGGCCGTTGTCCCAGAGACAGTCGACGCTTGGCTGGAGTGAGACAAGGACGGCGCTTGACCGCCCGGTACGGGTGTGTGGCTCGGGGCTGGGGGGATTGGCACTGATGCTAGGTACTGGTTGGGTGGGAATGTAGGCACGCCGCCAAAGTGTGGAGGAGGGGGCTGAAACTGACTGTGGGGTCCGCTGTTGTGGTTCACACCTGTGACAGAATCCAAATTAAAAAAAAAAAGTGATGTCATCATGTCTTCACGTAATATTGTAACACCGCATTATCATTGTGCAATATCATGTTTCGAAGACTTATGACTGATGAGGTACCCTTACATCTTCTATGATTCAAAATGTATTAATGATGCCTATCCTTTGGAGCATAGGAGCATATCAAGGAAATTAAGATAAGAAGGGAGGGAAGTAGTCCTTGGGCAATCTACTCCCTTTATGTCTGCTGCCCAGGCAAAGCTGCATCATGCATACTGCTTTAAAATCGTCTGTCAAGACACACCTCGTTTTCAAGCCTTATGACTGATGTGTAATACACTTTAGTGTCATAGCTTTATGTTATCTGTTTTATGGGGTAGCTTATTGCTGATGTCTACCATCATAACACTTTGTAATCTACTCTCACATGTCTAGCTTAACCCTTATATGTAACTTCACAACCATGTGCTGTCATACCATGCTTTTAATGTTTGCTTATACATGATGAGATGTGTGATTCACCTTAATACCCTGCCCTTCACTCATTCACTTACACAAATTCATTCCCAAAAATGTAAGGTATTACAACACAATGTCATACATTTTGTGTGGAAACGTACGTAGCACGTACTCCCCCAATAAATAATACCATTAAATTGCAGTATCACATCTGTTTAAACATTAAATTAAAATTCGGTGACCTACACGAGGTATTTCAGTGGGTTTGTTGTCCTTTTAAATATTAACTCACCCAGCCCTAGCGCCGATAATATCAGTATTCGCGTGCAACGCTCCAACCTTAACGCCGACAGTATCGGTATGGATCTTACTCCTATTTAGTCTGAAAGTGAAAGTTCATTCCCCCCTATCACGGGTGACCCACCTGGTCCAATAACGCCATAGTTGTGCTGCTGGCCTTGAGCCATGACCGCCGGATGAGGGTGCTGGTATGTCATGCCTGTGTTAGCGTATGAGACGGGGGGCACCACTGTCATGGGGTACGCCATGCCCCCGTCCGTCACCGGCGCCCGCTGATACGCCGCATTGGCAGGGCGTTCGGCAGCCGAGCTTGAGGGTGCTGGACGCTTGCGACGGCACAGGCAACAGATGAGAATCAGGATCACAAAGCCTGAAAGAACAAGGAATGGAGACAATTTTTTATTTTAAAAACATATTAATAACACATTTCTAAAAAGATGGGAAAATGATATTGTCAAAGCAGTGAAGAAAAGCAAGCAGGCTTTAAAGGATGTCAAAAGATAACTGGCTCATCTTGGCATTCCATAAATCTGTGCTAAGATGAATGTGCACATATGTATAAATATGTGTAACATCATTTCTGCGACATTTTTCTTGTAACAATAAAGTTATTGATATTGAGTGCTGAAAATAATTTCACAACACATGGGGCAGTAGTGATAACATGCAGGAAACCTAACGGTCTTGTTGACTTTCTATTCATACATAGTCCTGAAAATAGATGGTATCAAAATAAAGCAAAACTTAAAGGGAAACACCTGCTCCATTTGATACACAAAGAATGATCTTTTTTTCCCAATTAAGTCTTTAATAAAACATTAAAGTTTAAAACTTTTTATAAATGAAGATGACCCCCCCCCCCCCCCAAAGAACAACAACAACAATACAACCTTTTCTCTTCTTTCTACAGCAAGAATTGAAACATGAACAAACGAGACAAGAAACTCACCGATAAACAGAGCAAGTCCTATTCCAATGAGGAGAGGCAGTGGAGCGGTGTCATCCAGATCTATGTCTACATTGTTGTTGTGACCCCTCCCTCTGCGTGGACGCACTGAAACAAAAAATCAAGAGAAACAGTCTTAACATGAACGGAACAGTTATTATATATGCGCAATTTTAATGCACACATATGTGAGGCAGCGTGGTGAAATCAGGCGCTGGTCAAAATAATCAAAGAGAAGAAACTGGCATTTTTCCGAAGGTTTGTGAATTTTGATTGAATTCTTGTTTTTTTTGCTTAATTAACACCTTTAATTAAAGAACACATTTCTTTGTGGATTTTACTGAAAAACGTTGATAAAAGGCACAGAAAATGTAAATTTTCAGTTTCCACACACTCTCAAGCTAAGGAAATAACTAATCTTCTGAGGCCATTTTCTGCAGCACAATTCGCTTTGTAATGCTCTTCACTAAAACAAGTATTGTCCCTGCATTTCTTGGAATTCCCACGTCAGTGTTGTAAAGTTTGGTACTTCGTTGTTACACACAAAAAAATGTGATTTTGACAAGATGAATCCCTTTACTTGCTAATAATTGCATGAATATAATATTATATACTTTAAAACTCCACATCCTGCATTTTGTATTCCAGTCACTCCCTAAACCAAGACAACCATCACAATTTGACATGCATAACTTTGATGACACTGATGATGACAAAGACATATTTTCATTTTTTATCTTTCTCATTTGCTCAAATATCAAGGCAATGCATGAATGAGGTGATAGGAACTTTCTTTACTAGTCCAGGCCGAAAATACCAGTCATGTACTACAAAGTACACTTTTAACTGGTCATCTTATGTGCATAACACGATGATGACAAATTTGGGATTCGTTAATGGACCTTTCCGGTAATGACCCCATTGTAAAAATGTTACTTCATTTGTCTTCAAAAGGAAACTTGTGCGATTTCAGCTGTAGTAATCGAGTTTTATTGCTAAAAGCTTGTCTAGATGCTGTCAAAATAATATACCAATCAGTATGATGACAACAGTTGTGCACGTGATACACTTTTAAAGATTGCAATTGATGAAAATTGTGAAACCTGATTGAAGTATTTACATGTATGCCTGAAATATGATGGCTTAAGACTTACTCTCAGCACCAGTAAAGTTTTGAAGACTATACAAAAATGAGTGCTTGGAAGTAATTGCAATGCTGTTTTCATGTGACATATTGAAATGGGCAAAAAGGAAGTGGTTATTCTCACCCTGGATGAGAATAACCCATGTCTCGTTATTCTCACCCCCTCGTTTTACTGGAAATGACCTTAGAGGGATCAGGGAGGGGGGGGGGGGGGGGGGGGGGGGGGGGGTAGATGCTCCACAGCACCATGTTCGTCACTGTTCGTGTCAGGGATGTCAGTTTGGAGCCAAATCCCTGAAATATGGCTCTTTTCGATCGTGTCTGGCCCGGAGAATTTCATTTGGCTTTCTGGCTCTTTTTTGGCTCCAAACTCCAACAAATGTTCAAGAAGAAAAGGAAAAGAAAGAATAAAAGAAAAAAAATGAAAGTGAAGTTGATTACCAAACTAGTTAACACGATTTAACGCCCTCGCCTATTTGGTCTGAATAATTTACAACCCTTCTACCATCGTGCAAGAGCATTTATTGTCTCGTGCTTGTGTCTCATTACGTTTGAACATGTTCTCAGTTCCTTGAACCATAATTTATTGTGTGCAGGCAGAGAGTGAGAGGCCTGCCATCGTTAAGTGTGTAAACAGCAAATGGTATGGTCTGGCTGGCGGCCGGTCCAACATCCCGCTCAGTAGCCTTGGTAGTGAGCCTTTTTTTTATAATGGAGAGGCGAAAAATGTTTTCACATTATTACTATTCGTTCCCAACCACATGCACTAAGACACCAAGGGCCTAAGTGATTTTATCGGCCTGCTAGAGGTCAGGGGGGAGTCCTCACCTCATGCCCACACCGGGGTGAGAATAGCAAGACATGGGTTATTCTCACCTGGGGTGAGAACAAAGGTGACAGGGCAAAAATAGCAGCAAAATCCCTTTATTTTATCATTTCTAAGATATAAATCATATATAAAACAAAAATCTTTTGCTTGTGCTGCTACTGCAGCATATAAACAACACATATATGCCACAGACATAAATGTGTTTTCTATATTTATAAGGAGTACAAAAAAATACTGTATCACATAAATAAGCAAAATGCTGTGGTTCTGGCACAGGCTGATAATCCTATCTATAATTGTTTTTATTACACTATGTGTGAGTTTTGAATACAAATCATTTAAAATATTTTAAGAAAAAATTTGGGACCTGAAAACCTGTTCCCTTTGTGCATTTTTCGCTATGTGTGCGTGCTAGACTGGAGCTAAGCACTTTCAGAGATATCCAAAGGATTCAACATTTCCAAATGATTTTTTAAAATGAAATGGCTCTCCTTTTTCAATGGCAAACGGCAGTATTCCTTACACGGAAAATGACGTAGTAAATTACAGGTCAAAGTTATAAATAGTGAGCAATGACTTTGCAAGTTATCGACCTCATAGAGCGTCTCTGGCCAAGATATCAATCGATAAAGTGACGCGTTCCAGCTGAGCGATTATCAAGGCCGTGAGCAGTGGTGGAGGGTGGACCAAAATTTGGGTGGGGCTTAGGTTGCTTCCAGTTCTTTACAGTGGAGTCCACTTATAACGAGTCCTGAAACAACGAGAAGTCTGTTTTAAAGACACTATTTTAAAACCCCATTTTTTCTCCTTCTTTATCTTTGCAAATAAAATACTGCTATTGCGCAATCAGACCGTCACGCAAGCCGGTTATAACGGAATATTGCTGCTGCTGTGCACAGCTCACAGACCAATTAAACATATTATAAAACCTTGTTGAGAAAGTCGGTGATCCAGCGAAACAAAGAATGGGAGAGCCCACGCGATCCAACAATGAAAGCCGGAGCGAATGAGTGGGGAGGGAGTGGCATGCGCAGACAAGCAGAACGCATCGCATGATAGGCCAGCCCAGTCTAGATTATCTAGGCATACCGTGCCTCTCACTTGTCTGATGCGGGATTGAGAGGTCAATGTGTGATGTGTGCAAGCAGACGCAACGCACCACAGGGTGAGGTGGGGTGGGGGACAACACAGCGGGCGAGTTAACCTAGAGCCAGAGCCCCTTCTTTCTGATCGCCAACGCTGATTTGTCAACATTGCTAGTGCCAGAGAAAGAAACCCGATTCGATTTTTGATCAAGTAAGACTTACAGATCATGTTGAACAAAATCATCATCAGGGGAAATACAAAAAGGAATAAACAGAACACCAAACTGATAGATTAG